ATATAGACAGTCACAAATAAGACATTGACAGTGAAGACAGCAGTTTGGAAAAGCTTGATGAAGCAATAATGATATAATATAATGAATAAATAACTAAAAACAATTAATTATTTAACAAAAATAATAAGACTATTCGAATATATTCAAATAATTATATATTTTTCTCATGATTTCTAAAAACAATTGTTAGGAAAGTTTTAAAATATCTTACTTTGTATTTATATTTAAATTTTAATTAAATAAACTTTAAATATTAAGCATTATTTAATAAATAATAAGCAAACACAAAATATGGCACATTTGTATGGCATTTCAATAATAGGTGAATTGTGATATAATACACCACAGCGAGGTGAGTAAAAAGAGCTTTAATATTACGCCATCTTGTGCAGAATACCTTCATGAAAAATAACTTAATTTCGAGAGTTTTCTCAGCTAAGACTACCGCCATTGACAAATTCATCATACTAAGGCTATAGTAACAGGATGTGTAAGAACAACTCTTACTTAAGTTGAGCTTAAAGCTCTGAACATCATCCTATACCAAATATATCTAAAACTTTCTCAAGTTGAGCTTAAAGCTTAAAACATTATCCTGAAAGCTTTTACTGGAATGTAACTTTAAGCTTTCAACAATATTCTAACTTTCATTATTTGTATAACTTAAGAAATATTTTTTTTTGTTCATGCAAAGCTATCGAATTTTGGTTTATTTCAAACTTCCATAAATTGTTGAGATGTCCTCATTAATTTTACACAAAGTATTAGAGTTATGGTTCTTGCATTGTAAAGAGCTTTTAAAAGCTTTTTACATATCATCTTGCGTTATTGACTATTCATAGTAAACACGAAAGTATTTGGAGCTTATTTTCGTAGTATCACATCTATATATATTATTATTTTTGAAACTTGTTGCTTGGTAAAGGTTGTAAGCAATACTTTTATAGGGAGACTACTAACACCATCTGTAATCAATGCCAAGACCATCACATTTTTATAAACTCATATTTTTACGTTTTTGATTTAATAGTTGAATATATCATATACACGAAAAATTATGCACACCTTGTGACCAAAAACTAAAACAGTTTTGTTTATAAGATTATAAGATACGTTTTAAAAAGATATATAATTTAAGATACATATATATAAGATATATAATTATTTTAATGATTTTCTAATCAGTCTTCTAAAACACAAAAACCTAAACTTCACCAAGAATTACAAATTAACTTTTGATTAATACAGTCCAAACTAAAAGGACAAATATGTACAGCGAGCTTCTTCAGTTCAACGAACAAATAAAATTGTATGAAATCTTTAATAGGTATTACAGAAAATCCTAAAAGAGTCTTTCTTAGACATATTTTAATAAGATACATGTCATTTTTTTGGTCTTTGTATATTTTTTAATATTGATATCAAATTTGTTATATGTTGTAAAATGTCTAGAAGTTATGGATATTTAAAACTAATTTTATCAAGATTTTTTTTTGCATTTTTGCACCATAATAGTCTAAAAATCATTTTAAAATTTTCAAGCCTCTCTAAACGCATTTCTTCTTCTTCTTCTTATATCCGCAAATTTACGAATCGAATACGGCATAAGAAAAAACTGTCTGGTTTTTCTGAAAATCAATACTTAGCTTACACCATTAACCAAAAATATGTACGAATATAGAATAGTTTAAAAATAAACTGGGCACCAGCTCCCATGGGACCAGAGTACTGCGACTATAGTTGATCTTTTGTGCTGCACCAGACCCTAATCGAACAGAAGACATTTCAAATGAAAGTTAGAATGTCAGCCGTTGAGAACCTACTAATGTCAGAAGGCGAGACTCGGCACAGTGACCTCTTCCTAGCGCAGATCAAGGCAAGGCAGTCACAGAAAATGTGACTGTAATGTATGAATATAATTATGTATCACAACTGGTTTGATTTATTTAAAAGTGGTCGTTCAAGCAACGTAGACAATCCATTTCATTTCAACTTCAGAAATCGCCGCAAAATACAAAAGATTACTGATTAAAAGAAAAAGATTTTTTCTGTGGTTTTCTCTTGAAATTTAGTATACAGCCGCCATTGCTTATATAGTTTTTGGGTAAAATTATTTACTATAATATAAAATATATTTGGATAAGTTTATAGCTATCAATTATTAAAAATTTTATTTTAAAAAAAGTTATTAACTTCATATGTAGAAATCTTACACTATAATTCTGCGATTTATTTTATTTTAAATATACCAACTTAAAGATGAACTTAAAGACCATTTTAAATATTATTGTTATATCCATATTCAATTCAAAAAGAAAGTCTTAAAAATACAAGTCTATATTATATTAAAATGTTTATTTACTTCAGTTAAATATGCAAAAAACTGAAAAACCCTTAACTTCAGAGCAACAATTGTTTCCGATATCGACTTTTGTTGTAACAACGTTTTCGGTTCCATCGCCATAAAAAAATAACATTTTCATACAAAGAAAATATAAATATTTCAATATAAAAGGATTACCCTGGCAAATCAGGACGTCACTGTAGTTGGCAATGTTTTCCCGTCAGACATACACTGCGCGGTTAACATATACTCTACTAGCTCGAAACGAATAAAAAGAGTACCATTATCACGTAAGTTATTGACGTTTATTGCATTATGGCCACAGTTCATGGCACACTGTTGCTCCTCTGCAGGCAGAGCCACTACCACGGAGCCACGTTCATGTTTCATTTTTCTTGTTAGGTCTTGTGTGAAATTAACTTTATTTGCATTTTATACTATTAAATTGAAAATTGAATACATTATTCCCTTCACTTGCAGCCAAGAAAGGTCAGAATATTTTTATAAACAATTTAAGGGCATATAAAACACATGTTGAAGTACAGAATATAAAGCAATTAATAAAACATTATGAAGTGCTTTTATTTTTATATTAATTTTTCTTCTATAATAATAGTTCTTATCGATTTTAATATGGTCCTTTATTATTATAACTTGGTGGACCTTTATTATTTCTTTGCTGTTGTGCCAATAGCAAAGGATACATATTATTAAGTTGATATGATGAACAATCTGGACAAATTCCTGGCTCACCTCTTGTACCACGTTCACCAGGTTGCCCTGTTATGAGAAAGAATAAATAAAATTTAAACTAAGTTTATTATTAAATCGTTTGTTGGTAAAGCTTACCCGGTGATCCAGTATCACCTCGGTCTCCAGGACGACCAGCGTATCCTGCAACACCGTCACGACCTTGTGGACCTTCTGGTCCAGGCAATCCTATTTCACCCGGTCGACCAACACCATCTTCACCACGATCACCTTTTTGACCTTCAGGACCACGACCGCCAGGTGTTCCTGGTGTACCTGGTGGACCTACTAAGCCATTATACCCCCTATCTCCTCTTGCGCCTTCAGGTCCTCTTTCACCTAGAATCAAATATTTATATAAATCGTAAAACATAGTTCCAATTTTATTATAAAAATTAAACCTGGTAGTCCCTGTGGACCTGGAGGTCCACGTCGTGTAGCACCACGCAAGCCGGGTGGTCCGGGTGGGCCAACTAATGTTGAAGCAACTTCACTTATATAATCTATAAAGAACAAGTTTTTTGTAATGAAATGTGTACGCAATAATTATAACGTTGAGAGTTTTTTAATTGCTGGTATGTAAAAAAGGAAGCACATAATTTTGTTTAACTTGCATAAAAATATTTGTTTTATAATTACCTCTTACAACTGCTAAGCATATATCTCGAATTACAGTTTCTTCTAGTGTTCTGGTCACTTTTTCCTCAGTTCCTGATTCTCCTGCTGTTCCTGGCGCACCTGGAGGACCTGGTGGTCCTATTGGGCCTGGTAGACCCACTGGCCCTGGTGGACCTTCAGGACCTGGTGCACCTTCCTTTCCTGATAATCCAATAAGTCCTGGTGTGCCATCTACACCATCTAAACCAGGCAAACCTCGCAGTCCTTGGGGACCTTCGGGTCCTGGAGGTCCCGCCGGTCCTGGTTCTCCAATTTCTCCTTGTAGGCCAGGTAATCCCTGCAGTTTCGTTATATCAAGATCTACATCTTGATTACTTGCAGCTCCTGGAGGGCCAGGTGGTCCTGCTACACCGACAGCACCCATTAAACCCTATTAATAGAAAAGCAGAAGTTAAAATTTAAAATGATGTATTAAGATAAATATTATATAATGTATAGCAGCTCTTTGAATAGTTTTGAAACAATTATCCGCTATCAGAAAAGTGTGCAGCATAAATATAGTATTAGATATATACCTATATTAGATATATAGAATCAGTTTAGTGGTTAAAGAGTACGCACATACAAAAAAGTAGCTACTACGTTTATATGTATATATATAGATTACTATTTATATTATTATATTAATTAAAACACTTATATTAACTATTCCAATTTATTTGAAAAATTTGCTATTTACTTACTGGTGGGCCAGGTAGCCCAGGTGGACCTCTTGGACATTGTTCAGGACAGATTTCAGTACGAGTTCCTGTTAAAGCAGCAGGCGTAGAAGAAATGAACCAAGGGCGTCTGGTGGATGTGGTTAAAAATGATAAATGTATTGGTATATCAGGTTCATTTGTTGTTGTGGTAGTTGGCATAGGAGTTGGCACACGTAAATATTGTGGTATATCTTCACAGCTAGTATGTAAAGGCTTGTCAACGTCGCAACTAAAAATCATCCATTGTAAATCAATCTGCAAAATATAATATCATAAAAGAATATAATTAATAAAATTAATACAAAATAATAACGTAAATAATGAATTAAATAAATTTTTTGCTAACCGGAATTGTATTACGTGTTCTGCAATCGCGTGCTATAGAGAAAGCACCATCAGTATTATCAATTGGACCACGCACTTGAAGGGGTACACGATAGTTTCCACTTATATCTGGTATTGGTTTACAATCTACCCATAGACGTATGTCATCTTGAGACACACCAAACATAACCTTATGCCATGAGTGATCAAAAATCTAAAAATTATATAAATTTTTAAGCTTGATTACTTAAATAAACAATCTTAAAATTACTTCAAATTCCTCAAATGTAACTGTTTGTATGGTGCCATCAAATTTTGGTAGGGAAAATTCAATTATGTTTTGTATTGGATTAAGTGTTACACTCATTTGTTCCTCATGCCGATAATCGGTTAACTCGAATAAATGCCATTCATTTACCGGTTGGATTTCTGGTACTCGGAAGGTGCATTCAAATGAAAATTCATTTGGTACACCTTTCGGAAATGCACGTGTCGATTCAATTGTCATGTTTGAATATTCCTCCATATGGTAAGCAGTTTGATAACCAGTTGAACCGACTATTTGCTGCACACCTTCATATTGATAGTGATGTTCGTCAATTCGGTACGAGGAAATAATGTCGTAAGTGGTTAAATCTGGATCACCAGGACGTACGACATTGCAAGGAACTTGGGGATTGTAATCATCGTCAGGATCATAGTATTCAGAATTATCATTACCTTGTTGGATGGATAATAACTTTATATATTATATATGTGTTATATATTCTTATTTATTTTAAATAATTTAACTGTTGTGAAAAATTAAATTTTCACAAATATATATATATATATATCGCGGGCATCGCTTTTTCACTGGCTTGGTAGAGATAACTAAAGCAAACTTATCGGATCTCCTCAACTTCATCTGGAAAACCAAATGGTTCAACAGGGACTATAAAGGTTAGCAACTCCACTCTTCCGGCAAAATTTTTTGAGGGCATTACAATGGGCAATATATGCCTCCGAGTGGAAGTGCTGACAACGGTCAGCACGCGCCTTCCGAACCTAACCTAACGTAATATATACAAACTATTTTTTATGTATAGTTCATAAAAACTATTGTGATATAATAGTTTTTAGCCTTCTCGGGGGATTTGCTACCTTTTCGTGATGGTAAGACTCAGTAAGACTCCCAAGCCGAAAAGGTCAAGAGTGAATACCGCAGCTAAAAGAATTTCTGCATCTTTAGCGTCTGAATACCAAGATTGCGGCTAAGAGCGGGCGTCTGACTTGCAGCAAGTGACTCGCTATACAAATATGTTTACGTTGGGATTGTTAGTAAGCTAAGGATTCATCGACCACTACTTCTTGAATAATTCAACCAAATAAATATTTTTAAATTATGGATACAAACTGCAATGGAACAATGTATCCAATGGGTAATCGACTACCAAGAAATCACCCTGCTCTACATGCCGCAGCCGGTACATCGTATTTGGAGTTGCCAAGCCTATGCCTAAACAATAGTTCTCAGATGAACAAAATCGAGAGGAGTTAATGGATCTTATCCCATCACCAGAATATATATATAATTCAATATATAGTTAATTAAAATTTTTGAATTTTGTGTATATTATATTATATTTCTTAATAAGTATGACACAATTATGTTGACATAATTTTTTTCAAAATATGTATTCTCGTATTACTTAATTATTTTTATTAAAACTATCTGTTGAGAATATAACATCATTTTAAATTATTTGTTTTTTTTTCTTACTGCAAGGTTATCAGTTTCTGATTTAAACAGATTTAGCTTCTGGTCTATCCGGTGGAAATAAATTTTAAATGTATTTTTTAGCTCTTTAATTTAGTTATATGTAAATTATAAGTTAAACTAAATATATTTCACAATATTTTAATTAATTAATTAATTTAATTTTAATTAATTTTGAAATTTCTCATTAATTTTGAATATGGTAGCTTGATTTGACTTATAGAGAAAGAGTTTATAATTTTTAAACTAAAAATTTTGTTGCCATTTTGATATCCAATTATTTGTTTTTGTAAAACTTAAAGATATTAATTTTATTTTTATTAATTATTTTTTAAGATAGCATTTTTACTTTAACAGCTAAGATACATACCAACTTGCGCTAGAGCATTATTCACTATGAGAAATATTAGAAATAAAAGTACAGTGGTTCTTAGCATTTTATATTATAAATTCTGTTATATGCTATTTAGTTTTATTACAAAATTTTATTAATATTTTTTTATATATTAAACACTTTTTAATCAAATCACATATTTTCACTTTTAGAAAAAAGATT